CATTCATTCATTCATTCATTCATTCATTCATTCATTCATTCATTCATTATCTCATCTGGTTCCAACAACCCAAGGAAGCAGGTGCTACTACTATCCCTATTATGTGACTTGCCTCTTGTCACACAGTCAATATCCCAGGGCTGGTTCTGAACCTAAGGTTTCCAGATTCCAAGTTCACTATTCTATCCCCCATTAAAAAAAAATACAAAACCCTATCTAACTAAATCCACAGAAACTTATGACCATATGGGGGAAAAGCTGATGTATTTTTCAGCCATAGCAGCTCCCAAAGACCTCTAACAAAAACTGTCTGGTCCATAGTAGGGCAATAGATAGAACCTTGGACCTGGAGTTAGGGAGACCCAAGTTCAAATTCTGCCTTCTCAGATACTTAATATATGAGGCTGAGCAAGTGAATTTCCCTGAGCCTCAGTTTCCTGATCTGTCAAATTAGGATAATAATCGTACCTACCTCACAGAGTTGTAGTGAAAATCAAGTTGAGAGAATATGTAAAGCATTTTTAAAAACCTTAAAAGGATACCTAAAGGCTAGTTATTATCAGCATCAGCATTATTATAACCAAAGGGGCTAATAATGGCAGCTATGTCACAGGTTGCTGGAAAGATCAAATGAGATTATACTTACTAAATACTTTGCAAAGCTTAAAGAATTACGTAAATACTAGCTGCTGTTATTGTTACTATTGCTGTTGTTATTATTATTATTGAAAAAAGTCACAGAGCCATGAAGTATTGAAGGAAGTTGGATCCCCCATATTAGCCTGGTTTCATCACCAGATATTTCACCAGCTTTCTCAATCAAGATTCCAAGTACAACCACCAGAGCCCATTTCCTGGCAGAACAAAGAACACAGAAGACTGGCTGCACCCCACATTAACTCCATGCTTTATGGGAGGTCCCCCATTCCCCAAGGAGGGTAAACACACAACTCTGGCCCTCCTAAGAGCCAAGGGATGGGGGCAGAAGATCCCAAGCCTGATCACTCCAGGGCAGGGTGGATTGGCAGCAGAAGCTCTGCAGAGTCCAAGACCAAAGCAGTGAGTTGAGAAAAATAATTCTATTATAACAAATGAACTTGAGGGATGGTGGGGAGCAGTTAAGCCATTTGGGCATTTGAGCTATTTAAACTTTTGTAACAGACACCCAGATGCTTTGTGAGAGTTGCTCAATAATTAAATGAATAAGAAACTTAGAGCTTTATATAAATATCGTCAGTTCTAAAGTGGGCAGAAAAGGGAGGGGAGAGTCACCCAAAGGTGGTCTAGACTCATCTAGCACTTTCTTTCAAGTTTTGAGGAAACTGTTCCAGGATTTTGCAGCATCCCATCCTTCATGACTCTGAGGACCTGATTCTAGTAAAGTACAATTAATTCTCTCAGCACGAAAATATTCAATTCTTCTTGAGGAGAGATTGATACTTTCTGCTGGTGTCATTCTCTGGGGATACTGAGGCACACTAATGAAGAACAATGACAAATTCCTGTTACAGAAGCGGGCTGCCTACCCCTTTCATCATTTTATTTTTTTGAGTACAGAGTGGAGGTAGACCACATAACTCACTTACGGCAGTGCCAGCCCTCCGAGATACCTCTCATTCCATTTACATTGTATATATCCCCATACAAACAATTTTCTGTGTTTGGTCCCCCTCGTTAGAATGTGAGCTCCCTGAGGGCAGGGGCTGGCTCAATTTTTGCAGTTCTTTTTATTCCCCAGAGCTTAGCACTGGCCTGGCACATAACAGGCTCTCACTGACACACAACCTTCTAGAGTGCCAGTCAACTCTCAAAGACTGTAAGTTACTGAGTAGGTGCCAAGACCAATAGATAATGTAAATTTCTTCAAGAGGAATGAATTAAAACTACCGATCCAATTAAAAAAATGCATATTTTCAAAAGTCTTGTGGAAATATTACCTTATATAACATTTTACAAAGCACATTCTTCCCTAGAAAACAGGGAGGAGTAATGATTCAGCTATCATCCCTCTCTTTACAAAGAAAAAGCTGAAGTGCAGGGAGATGTCTATTATTGATGTGACTTTTGAGGTTCACAAAATCCTCACAAAAATTCTATGAGGTAGATACTGCTATTATCCCCATTTTATAGAAGACAGAACTAAGGCTGAGAATTTCAGTGACCTGCCCACGGTCACACAGCTAGTAAGTGATGGTCAGTTCAGACCCAGCTTTTCTTTCTCAGCTCTTTCCAAAGAAGGCAGGGAGGGAAGACCACGATGCCTCTGAAAGACTTAACTTTTACAAACCAAAACCCCAGGGGAAATCTCTTTTCCCACCTCACTCTTAACCTAGATAGACAGATTTTTTTTTAAATGAGAAAAACACCAGCCTTTCAGTTCTCCAAATGCATTCCCACCCTGATTATAAAGAATATACACAGTGTTAGGAGATACAGAGGAAATAGAAGGCTCTTGTCCTTGACCTCCAGAAGGTATGAGAGCCCAATGGAAAGAAGGGGAAAGTGCCGACCCAAGAGTAGCATTTTATATCCTTTCAGAATGTTCAGTCAGCATTGCTAAAACTTGTAGAGCAGCTAAATGGCGCAAAGGATAGAGTGCTGGGCCTGGAGTCAGAAAGACCTGAGTTCAAATCTGGCCTCAGACACTTCTTACCTGTGTGACCCTGGGCAAGTCACTTAAGCCTGTCTGCCTCAGTTTCTTTATCTGTAAAATGAGCTAGAGAAGGAAATGGCAAACCACTCCAGTATCTTTACCAAGAAAATCCCAAATGGGGTCACAGTCTGACATTACTGAACAACAGCAAACAAACTGCAAAATTATTTTCCCATTCTGGAAACACACAGAGCACAATATGCCAATTTTGAATATACCCATTAAAAACAAAATCATCTGCTTATCTAAAACTGGGCAGGTGTATTTGGTTGTTTTGTCTTTTAGCCCATATAAAGCCAGCATTATTAACTGACAATCGTTAAATGTCCCTATTCCCTTCTACAGCTTCAAGTATTCTACACAGATCATTTGGAACTTTCTTTACATTAGGCCTAGAAATTACCTAGAGAGGGTAGATAATCACTGGGGAGTTGCCAGAGTCACAATGAAATTAAATAACTTACCCCAGAGTCGCAAAGCTATGGAAGTTGTTGGCAAGGCAGAATTTGAACCCAGATCTTCCTCACCCTAAATCTGGCCTTGGCCAAGTTCTTTCTTCACCTCGAGGTGATACCTTGTCCCTAATTCTACAATACAGCAATTAACTTAGTTTGGGGAAAGTCAGGGTGGGAGTAAGTGAAAAGGGAAGAAAGGAATTTGCAGAATCAACTCAAATTCACACAAAGCACTAACTGATGGCTAGGTCCCTCCGGTCACTCCCTCCCTCTCTCTCCTCCCCTCCTTCTTCCCTTCCAGCCTCACAGAAGGCCCATCCAAAGAACCTACCTGTGAATTTCCATCAGGATTACCCACAGAAGCTTAGGCCCATTAAATGTGCTAAATTTCGGAAATAAGAGCACCAGCCTGAGGCCATACTGCTTTACAATCACATTATCGAATAATCAAGTTTAACCAGGACAGGCAATGCCTTTCCCCCACCCTCCCTTCAACTTTTCAATGGAATGTACAAATTTATGTTCCCAAAAGTAAGAGAGAGACAGGCTGGTATTTAATTTACAAATTACTATGTGTAGTGGTCATGTGTTATGACCAACTTTTAAGCACGAATTAAAAATTGCTGGAAAAATAAGAGGTGAAACTTACTAATAGTTATTGTTTGGTGAAAGACTGGAGAAAAAAACCCAAAGTATTTACAGTTCACGGCAGCTCTGTAAGGTACAGCTGGGGAGCAGGTGATTTAAAAAAAAAGTCCCCTGACAAATTGCAGCAAAGGGTGATGATTACACCTAGTCAATTGTTACATAATTACTTATTAGCAGCTGCTGCTTCGCATCATACTCGAACATATATGACTACAAAATGGCATTAGATCCCTTACCGTTACCGTCGGTGGCACCCAAAGTGGCAGGGGGGCAAGATTTCGCCCTTTCATTTTATTTAGAGAAAGCAGATATGGAAATGAAATTTAAAATACCTACTGACCATTCCCTTACATCCAACTCAGAACTACCTGCGTTAACATGGTTCAATTTACATATGCAAATCAGCTGTGAATTAAGCCAATCATCTCTACACACAAAAATCACGGTTTCTCTCTAAATATTCATTTTGGAGGATGGGGGATGAAGAAAGATGATTTTTGGGATATCCTTCCCATTTCGAAGTTTATGCCTCTCGCAAAGGCTGTTAGCAATGTAAAACGTTGGATATATTAGGCAGGCAGGAAAAAAAAGAAGAGGTTTTATTCGCTTCTCTGCTTCTCCCGGCGCAAAATGCAAGTCTCTGTATTGGATGCCCTGAATTGCATTCCAACATTTTTCAAAAGTTTATGAGGATTCACTAAAGAGGCGGGGAGAAAGAGATAGTGAAGAGGAAATCTCGGAGAGGGGAGGCTGAGAGCAAATTAAACAGGAGAAAATCCCCAGAAGCGGTGGAAGGCCCAGGGAGAGGGGGCAGGCGACCACATGCAGATGCCTAGCTTCACAGTTCAATGCTCTCACTGACAGCAACCCTAAGCCGGCGACTCGGCCTCCCCGTGGCCCCCACCTGGCGCTGGCATGGGTCCAGGTACCCTGCACCAGCCTCCACCCCCTGGCAAGCCTTCCCCACCCAGCACGCTCTCCATTCTGCCCCCCTCCCCCTCCTTTCACTACTTCGGATGCCCGCTGGGCAAACTTGGCCTCAGGTCAGCGCTGCAGAGCCCTGGCATGGGGGGGAGGGGGGGTCAGGCACTGGAAAGGGAAGGGAGGCGGCGGCAGCCGCGCTTACCTCCTTCTGCTTTGGGTCCTGGGGGTAGACGTCAGGCGGCCCGAGCCGGGGTCGTTTCAGAGGTCTCTGCTCATAACTGAGAAGCCCGAAGGCGGCCATGATCTCTCATGTTAACCGGAGAAATGAATGAGAGTTGGAGATGGAGCAGCCGCCTCTGAGCACCAGGGAGCAGCACTTTGCAGACAGACTCCCTCCTCTCTCCCTCCCTCTCTCCTCCTCTCCTCTCTCTCTCTCCCTCTCGCTGCAGGAATGAGCAGGTTGGATGCTGCCGCCGCCGCTGCTGCTGCTGCTGCTCCCGCCGCCGCCTGAAACAGACAGACACCCACAGCAATTGAGCAGCCCGCCGCACGCACTGCCCCCAACGCTCCCGCCGCCCCCCACCCCCGCCAGCCTCGCCCCCTCCCCAGCCCCCTGCTATTGGAGAAGGGGTCCAGATCTCGGCCCGCTGCTTACCCCTCCTTACTCCTCTTACCTCCTGGAGGGGGCCAGGCTGGAGGAAGCAGGGGACTTCGCTGACCCCTAAAAGACCCTAGCCCAGCCTGGCCCAGCTCAGGGCTGGGGATGGAGAAAAAATTTTAAAAAACTTTTCTTTGCAGCCGAGCCTCGAGCTGAAGTATTGGTGGGGCGCTTACAGCTCTGGGCAGAGTAGGGGGCTGCCGCTGCCGCTGCCGCTGCCGCTGCTGCTGCGGGGAGCAGCCCTGCCCTGCCCTGCCCTCCCCTCCCCTCCAGGCACAGCCCCAGCTCCCAGCTCCCTGTGAGCACCGCCGGCTCTCCCCACCGCTCCCCGCTGGGGCCCTGGATGCTGTCACCTGGACACCGACCTGGACAGTGCGGAGGCCCGCAGGGGGCGGGGGACGGAGGAGGAGAAGGAGGAGGAAGGGAGCAGGCGGCGGGGGGGGGGGGGGGGGGGGGGGGGGGGGGGGGG